ACAAGTGTAATACAAAAGGTGTATCAAATTCCATCAAGATGTTTGGAGACGAAAAGAAGTTCCTGTCACGTGAAGGAACTGAAGTGTGTGTATCTGTACATGTCTGTCTGTGTGTATATACACACACACACACACACATATAGATATACATATAAGGAAGCTTTATGGCTTTATATACATATGCAGATAAAAACCCCTAATATCTGTGCTGGTTAATATTACTTGGCAAAAAATGACTGAACAAGAAATAATGATATAGGACTATGTATTTTCTATGCTAATAAGAGATTAATTTGCTGGGTTTTTTTTTAATAGAATTAAACAGATGTTCTCTTGATGAACACCATCTGTAAAGTATTACTTTGAGAGGCTGCTTACTTAGTATTTTCTTTATATTGTAATCTATATGTATATTTTTATAAGGTATTTAATTTATAATATGTTAGAATATACTTTTAAAGAAACCTTCTGGTAGTTTACATTATATATTTCTTTTTAAAAGAAAGATAGAATTTGATAGGTAGAACATAATAAATATTATTTTTAGTCCTCTCAGAAGTTCAGGGTTGTGAGGAATTAAAATATAATATGGAATACCTGTACAAGAAAAGCTTTTCTGTAGAACAGGTTATTCAATATAGTTTGCCTATTTTTTTTTTAACTTTAAATCAGAAGTTACAGATACCACTCTGTTGTTCTTTCTGGTATTCATTGCTACAGTGTCTCCCAGATATGTCTGAGTTTGTCACATCTGCTGATAAATAAAGTAAAGTATTAACAAAGATCCTGTGAATTAGCCTCAATCATATTCTAAATGAATGTCTTTGTGTCTTTCTGTTATATAATACAGTGTTCACTGCAGGTCAGTTTGTCTAGAAGTTATTTATAATAATAACAATATTGTGACTTGCTTGTAGCTGTTTATGTCCAGTGTGAATTACTTCTTTCTGCTCACAAGACATTATTCAGACAGTAGCAAGTATAGAGTAACATTGACTTTTAAGACCAATTGCTTTTCTGCTGGGGGAGAAAATTTAGCCTTGGGTAAAACTGTTACATTTGTGTGCAGCCTGTAATTAGTATTGTAGTTGGGTAAAGCTTGATACAGTTGAGCTCTGCAAAACCTTATTCAATTTTCTGATCTCAGAAGTCTTTTTGATGAATGAATCCTCAAAGAAACACGCAGTAAGAGTACTTTAGAAAGTTCTCAAAGAATTTTCAGATCTGGTTTGAATCTTTTAAAGTAAAGGTGCATTTGTATGGGAATTAAGATGATTAGCAAGTTGCACCACAAACCTGCAGAAGAAACAAAAGGACTGATATAAGCTGTCATAAACCTTTTACATTTCTTTTAGGGAGAGCATGTTGCTGCACTTTGCCTAATTAAATGACATTTCTCATCGATAAGGGGTGTGATATGGCATGACTAACGTGCAGAGATGCACTTGCAAGGTGAAAAGTATAGAATGGGTTGCATGTGTTTACTAATCAGTTAAAAATTTGCAGTCTTCCAAGCTGTGTGTAACTTGGAGCTGTGTCTGACATTGTTGGAAGATAGTTAAAATTCATAGTTGTGTTTGGTGAATGCAACATAACAGCAAATTTCACTGCTCTGTGGGAAGACAACTTCTGTTTTAGACTGAAAAATTAAATCTGGAATCTAATCAAGAAGTTCACAGTGTTTTTTTTTTTCTTCCATTTCTGCACTATAACTTCAGTTTGGATATTAACTGAATGTTGTGAGAAGCCCTACCATGTTGGTTATGAGGGCTAACATCTATTTCATAGAATCATGGAATAGTTTGAATTGGAGGTCATCTAGTCCACCCCTCCAGGGATATCTTCAACTAGATCGGGTTGCTCAGAGCCCCATCCAGCCCAGCTTTGAGTGTTTCTAGGGATGGGACACTCACAACTTCTCTGGGCAATCTGTGCTAGTGTTTTACCACCCTCATCATAAAAAACCACTTTCTTATATCTAATCTAAATTGACCCTCCTTCAGTTTTCAAAACCATTACCCCTTGTTCTACCACAACAGGCCCTACTAAAAAGTTTGTTTTTCTTATAGGCCTTCAAGTACTGTAAGGCCACAATAAAGGTCTCAACGGAGCTTTCTCTTTTCCAGGCTGAGCTACCCCAGCTTTCCTTATAGAAGAGGTACTCTAATCATCTTGGTGTCCCTCCTCTGGACTTGCTGCAGCAGCTCTATGTCCCTCCTGTGCTGGGGACCCAGGGTTGGATGCAGCACTCCAGGTGAGGCCTCACCAGGGCAGAGCAGAGAGGCAGAATCACCTCCCTCGAACTGCTGGCCCTCCCACTTGCCATCTTTGCTGCAAGGCCACATTACTGGCTCATGTCCAACTTGGTATTCACCAGGACTACCAGCTACTTCTCTGCCAAGCTGCTTTCCAACTGGGTAGCCCCCAGAATGTACTGATGCTTGGGGTTTTTCTTACTGACCATCGTGAGGTTCCTGTCAGTCCATTTCTCCAACTGTCGAGGTCTCTCTGGATGGTAGCAAGAATTTCTGGTGTATCAGCTGCTCCTCCTGGTTTGGTGTCATCAGCAAACTTGGTGGGGCTCAATTCTGACCCATCTTCCAGATCATTAATTAAGATGTTGAAGGGGATAAGATCCAGTATTGATCCCTGGAGTACACAGCCAGTTACTGGCATCCAGCTCAGCTTTGTGCTACTGATCACCACCTTTGAACCTGGCTGTTCAACCTGTTTTCAATCCACTTTGTCTGCTCCTCCAGCCTATATGTCATCAGCTTCTCTGTGAGGATGTCAAGCATCAGATGCTTTTCTGAACAAGTTATCTTCTTTCTGTCAACTTTGAAAAAATAAGTTTGTCCAAGAATTGACCTTGCATCTCCCCGGTTTGATATTCAGACTCACATAGTCTCATTATTTCTCAATTTTCTTGTATATGTAGAACTGGGGTATCATTAACTGTCACTAAAATTCATCTTAAAGAGGAATGCAGCTTTTATGAAACACTTGAATGCATGGAGAGTAACAGGAAATGCTCATGGGGAAATACCAGACTTCTTGAGTGCAGCATGTGGAACATATGCAGTAAGTAAAATCCTGAATACAAAGCCTGTAGAAGATATCAAGAATAATGACCTGTTTCTTCAATGAGACAGGAATCTGCAGTTGCAGGATTACGTAATCCTGCAGGACTGTATCATATGGACTCTAGAAGAGAACCTCAAGTTTCCTGGCTTCTCAAGTGCTTTTATTTTAGGATATTTATTAGTATTTCTTCACTTGTATTTATCAGCATAGCTTTTCTCCTTGCAAAAGGAAGTCTTTGTGTTGATTAAAACCAACATAAATATTTTATGTAAACTGTTAAGAGTAGAAACTGGTGTCTGTTTTCTTCTGTCTGAAGGTGTGTACCTAATCCACTAATGTATTAAGTGTGTTTCTTGTCCTAACAAAGTATGTATTACTTCTGTAGATAGCATGTGAAGTTATGAAAGCTACAGATAGAGGTACTTCTGTAATTCTGTTTATTCTAGACCAATTACACTGTTTTTCTTAAAATATCTCAGGAAAATTTTAATTCCAAACTTTAAGAATTCTACATTATATCATACTCCTGATATCTACAGTCCACTACATACTGCTTGTCTTAATTTTTTTTCTTGATGAAATTATTTGGTATAATTATGAGACAACTATTGTGTAATTATGTTGAATTCTTACTACAAACACCCAATATCATACTGTTTCTGGATTATTAATATTAATGAAAACAGAAAACGAACTATTTCTAAAAGAGGCACTCTAAACTTTTCCCCCCCAAATTAAATAACAAGTGTGGTTTAATGTAGCTACTGATATTTAAGGTAATCTGAAATTTCAAAGTTGGATGTTTGAAAATATTAAATGGTCTATATCTAGCACAATTCTCAATTAAAGGTTAAACTACAGGTGTTGAGTAGCAACTTTCAGATGGAAGAATAATTTCTAAGACCTTAGAATTTCTTATGTTAGCTTTTTTTTTTTTCAAAATATTTATTTGGAAAAGAAAGGAGATTCATGTTCCAAGATCTTCCTGCGGTGTCCCTCACCATTTCACCTAAATCCAGCCCTGGTTATGATTTCTGTTGTATGGATATTTTTATTCTAACTGGGTTTTTAATGTATTATATGACCTGCTGTACAGATTGCACGTTAGTCTTGTGAACATGAAGCTGAGACTGTACAGTTCATACATAAAACCCTAGAGGATTAGTTAAGTTCCTGTTGGCATTCACCACCCCTTTTGACTTGAAAGAATATCTGGTAGATTTTGTGAGGTGTATTGACAAGTCAGTTCTCACTGGTGGACTGTTGTACTGAGAAAATAATATGCGAAATTTCTTTTTATAATACATATAACACACAGGGTGGTACTTATCTGTGATTTTCTTACATTTCCTGAGGATCATCTTAACAGAAGATATAAAGGCATCCTGTTCCTTTTTCACTCAGATATGTTTTAACGTGTATTTGAAAATTAATTACCTTTTCCACTTCTTTTGAAAACAGCAGCAAGGGGATTTGTAGTACTGAATTTCGAATGTATAGAAATACATTCAATGGAAATTATGTTTTATGTATAATTTGCCAAACTTCTATACTCATACAGAGGAAAATTAACTCTGAACTAAAAAAAAAAAAGCTTAACAGATTAATTTTCTCTTTATAGGACTTCCAGTTTTTACAGTGGCACTTAAAATTATAATTCCTATGCTTTATTTAGTGAATGACAATAGGATTTGTATGGTTGTACTGCTTTCTTTATAAAAAAAAATCTGTGCTTGCATAGAATAAACATTACAAAAAAATCCTCGGGCACAATAAAGGTGTAATTACAGACTCCAATTATGTAACATTCACTAGAAATAATTGGAGATTAAACTCTATTTAAAAGGAAGTTTCTTCAATGGAGAAATATTTCTGTTTTTTAATTGAAAAGCTTTTTTTCCCCATTTTCCTTCCAGGTATTGCTTTGTTTTTGCTTTGGGATACCTCACTGTGTGCCAAATTACTAGAGTCTATATCTTTGACTATGGACAGTATTCTGCGGATTTTTCTGGGTAAGGAGAAAAATAATCTTTCCATCTTGTCCTCCTAAGTGATACTGTATCTGTTGTTGTGGGGGTTTCTTTGTTGTTTGCTCCCCCACATCCCTCCCATGTGTGTCAGCCTTTTAAACTTGGGGAGAAAGCTGAGCATGTATGTCCATATTGACACACATACGTGCTTTAATCATAAAACCTGAGAATTTTTGTGTCTTGTTAGAACCACCCATGTGTTACCTGTTGCCTCCTGTTCCTGTCTGAATGGCATAAAGGATTTGATGGCTATGGGAATTTTTTCTCTTCTCTTTTTTCCCTAAAGTCTCTGCTACCACCCATGACAGCATGGTGAACCTTGAATTGTGTCTGGCTTACTTGCTTGCCTGGCACAGTCTGATACAACTTTCTGAAGAAAATCTGAATGGTTTATGGAACTTAGCTTTTAGCTTCTTTTGGTTCTGGTTTTATGTTAGATATTTAAGAAGGAGAAAGCTAAGGAGGCAGGCACCTGGATGATAAGGTACTCACACAGCCCTTGGAAACAGAAAGTTTTGTTTCTATATGCCCTCATTTTATATAATGAACTTCTACCTATATTTGACTTAAACTGTATAGGAGCAAAACAGAACCAAATGGGCAAAGTAAAAATAAACCATATTGGTGATTCTTCTTTGTGCTGCAGACACAGAGAAGTGAAGCACATTTCTTATAAACAAATTTGCTATTATGATAGTGCTTTTGTTGGTTTAAAGGAGAGTGTGTATTCTGGGGGGGAAAAAAGAGATGGGGAGTATTTGCTACTGCTAAAAATAGTGCATTAAATACTTTTCAGGAATATTATGAATGGCAGTGGTCTTTGTAGTTTAGTATTACCTGTAGTAGAGTTGTACTTGTTAGCCTTGTTGCTTCTCAGTCTTCATAAGTAACGGGCACATAGTCCAGAAACTTAACTTGTAGGCTGAAGCCAAAAGCCTTTATGGTTAAGTTCATCTTTTCTGTCATCTTTATCTTCTTACCTTCTGAAACATCTTTCTACATTTGTCTTACATCCAAGTGTCTGCCTTCAAGCCAGATATCCGAGTTCCAGTTGTAGTCAGCAGAGATGTGATCGATGTGGACAGTAGAGTCTGGAGGGCATTTCAGCTGACCGACTACTAAGTATCTACCTGAGCATGAACTGGGTCACTGGTCAGATGCCCCTGACTATTGACTAGATCTCCATGGGCTTTAATGAGAGCTTGCAACACAGACAGACGTGTAAATTCACTGAAACTAGATTTACTGATGTTGAATTTATTTCACCATTACAAGTTGAACTGTAATCCAAATGCTATCCCTTCCAGTTCACTGTAGGACCAAAGTGTACAACATTGGCAGTGATCAAAGCTCTGAGCTGACTCTGGAAATGGTGTAATTGCACTTTGTTGTTGTTCTCTCAAAACTATTAGTAGAGCTTGAGTGCACCGTTTCTCAAATGCAACTGTAACTGCTTTCAGATAGCAGCTGGCTTTGTGGCTCTGCTGGTTGTGTGTTAGCTCAGAGATTTCTGCTGAGTCTAAACATGTCCAAAGATTCTCACATCGCATTCCTGGAGGTGTTCAAGGCCAAGTTGGATGGAACTCTGAGTAACATGGTCTAGTTAAAGATGTCCCTGCCCATGGCAGGGGAGTTGGAACTAGATGATCTTCAAGGTCCGCTTCCAACCCAAACCATTCTATAATACTATGATTTCTGAGCTCTGTACTCTGGACAGAACTGTTCTGAAGCCTAGATCCAACTGTCTGATTGTATGTTTGAGCTGTCAGATTTCAACCACCCTTTCATGCATCAGTTTGGGAGTTGGATGCACATCACATTAAATCTCTGGCATACACTGCTTATGCTCCCTTGACACCTGAGACAGAGGTTACTTCCAAAACAGGCAGAGAAAGAAAACTTTCCCTAGTTCCAGGGTGAGAGAGTAAGCTCAAGGAAATAACTAAAGTTGCCCAGCCAGCTGTTGAACCCCAGCATCAGCAAGTTCTTCTAAACATGTTGGCAAGGATTCCTACGGTGGTTAGCCCCAAAGGAGCTCCGAATATCTGTTTACCTAGATATTTCTCCTAATATGCCATGCCCATCTAAGGTGTCCAAGCTGAGAAAATCTGGGAAAAGTTTAAAGGACAGTCTCAATGCACTGACAATGGAGAAAGCTGAGGAGACCTTGTACTGGAGATGCAATTGCTTGTGCAGAGCTGTGTGGGCCTGGCTGCAGTACTACCAATGAGCCTTCTGCTGCCTCCTTTCTCTTTCTCCCAGCACCTAAAAGGGGTTGTTAAAATCCTGGTTCACAGCCTCACTGTGCCAGGAAGGACTCTTCCTCTTCTAGTTTCTAGATTGTTGCTCCTCAGCCAAATCTTTGATGATACTGGAATAACCACTTCAGAAGGCAAAAAAACCCCAAACTGGTGCCTGCTGTGACAGTGACAGACATATCAGCTGGAATTAGTGTAAGGGCCAACTGGGCTCCTCCTGGGTTCCATCCTTCCACCAGGCAGGATCCATGCTGTCACATGTCTGCTTAATGGGAAAACCCATTATGTTCAGAATCACTTGGGGATTTCTGCCAGCACCAGGCAGGTCTTCAGCTGAAATGCTGGAAAGACATATGAAGGATTTACCAGACTATCTGTTCTTGCTTAGGTCTCTTCCTTGATGACCCTTGCTCGTCTCACTCTAGTCTTCATATCAGGATTTTGGGGCACTGATAATAACAGTAGAATTTTTTTTCCCTGATTGCATTTTGAGGACTGGAAATAATTGTGTGTTTTGAAATAACCATTACCTAAAAAAAAAATAATTTGACAAAATTAATCTGCCAAAATACTGGTGTAGCCCTGTCAATGAAGGAGAACTTGATGGCTTTTGGATTTGTTTTCCTGGGCCAACTTAAATGTGTTATAAAAATACTAAGTGCACTCAAAACTTGAACAAAACTAATGCCCAATTTACAGTATGATTATTTTGTTGTGCTTTTTTTTGTTTGTTGAGGATTTTTTGTTGAGTTTCGGTTTTGTGGTTTGTTTTTTTTCCTCCAGCTCACTACTAGGTAAATATAACTCTGATACATTTTTTGAGATCTGATTTCAAAGGTAAATTTCTAAATTCTAGTAGCTTACTTTGCGCAGTCCTCTGTTCTTTCCCTCCCCCAGATTGAGGGTTTTCAATATTGAGATATACATAATTCAAAAACTCGTAAATACTACAAAGATGGTATAATTTCTCAGTACAAAGCTGAGTTGGATAGCCAGGGAAGAATATTTCTTGGATAGTTTATGATTCACCCAAGTATACCAAATTCAGAACAAAGGGAACTCTGTTGGAGCCAGCATAATTATACTGGGTTTTTGTTTTGCCAGATATGTTTACTTGAAGCAAATAATAATTCTAGATGAAAAAAAATAAGTATAGGACCAGGCGTTAGTAGAAACACTGGAAGTGCTCAGCATACCTAAACAATTTATTTTAATGTTCAACTTTGGTATAATTTGATTGTGTTTTTTTACTGCTGCAGTAACTTGCAATGAATATAATTGCTTTTACTGCCCTTTTTCCTTTACTCTTCTTATGGTAAAAAAAAGAAACTATGTTAGTAGAAAATACATGTGAAACACTAGCTGTGTTTGTGGAATCTAATGAAGCAATAAAAGGTGTGAATTATCAAATACTGCATTTAAGGCTTAAATTCTTTTCATTGCATTGAAAACTCTATAATGGTTTGAGCTCAAAAAAATTATTCACTTTTTTATTGCATTGCAGATCTTCCATCTTAGAGTAATTAGGCTGGACTACTAGTATAAACTTTCCCTGGTATTTCCATGTGAAAGAAAATCCTGAACTTCTATCTAAATTATTCTTTCTTCCTTTTTTTAAACAGTCCAATGATGATAATTACACAGAAGATCACTAGTTTGGCATTTGAGATTCATGACGGTAAGATTTCTTTACTGTGTTTAATTTTCCATACAAAATAAATTTAAGGAATATTTGTCATGAACCAGTGAGTTACTTTAGTCCAGTTTTGTGTTTTAGGTCAAAACATATTTTTCTGTCTCAATTATTTCATTTGATGCTTACTAATGACAGTGCTGAGAAGTGTTGCTCAGACTCTACAGAAGCTCTAAAAATGCTGACACTGTGCAGAAGACATGACTTATCAGAAGACCAGTGACACTTCTGGTGTCAGTGACCAAAGACCAGTGACATTCTTTCGGGCTGGATTATTGATCCTGATAGTTAGCTAAGGAATTTCCCAATTCAGAGATCTCTGCTGCTGACAGATAGGTAGAAGAAGCACATGTAATTTCTGTTGTTGAGCATCTTTTGTTTTAAAATGCTGACTGTTGAGCTCTTCCCTAGTTTGTGCCATATATACAGATTTTTATAAAGCCTTTGTATATGTTTCATTTTGTTTACTATCATAATTACACTCACTGCTAACATATTGCTGTGAACAGGGAGATTATCTAATTATGCTTATGTCTTTTCTCCTGTTAGATTTATCCATCAGATAAGTGGGCCTTAGTTGTTGCAATGAATCCTAATGTCGGCTTTTGTGGGTAGGGTAGCTAGATGTTTAGTTACCTTTAAATTCAAAGGAGTAATTTTCATTTTAAAGTTTAAAGTGCCATCTTATAAATGTGTCCAATTAGATTGAATCACTTGGAGCTACAGCTGTCAGTTGAAGATTTGGGAGTGTAACCCCAGACACCTGGATCAAGCCACCTGCTGTCCTGAAATTCCTTTAGTAACATTATGTAATTGAGTTTAATATGTTTTTGTCTCACATGTCCTACCTTTAGTGCTGTTGGAGTTTCATTTTTTTTCCATTCTTGTTAATTTGCACTGGCTAGAGAAGCCTGTAGGCAGCAGCATTCAGGAATATGAAAAAGCAGGAAAACACCTTTTTGTAAGTATTTTTTGTATGAATGAAAATGAGTAATGCTAGGCATATCTAGTTGGTCAAAGAAGTTGATATCTAACTTCCAGAGAAAATATATTCAGAAGTATTAGTCTTGCAATCTATAATTAATTGGACTACAGAGTACATAAATTAGAGGAAACAGGTTATTATAAGGAAGTAATAGTTCTAGTACCTAACATACATGCTGCTTCTTAGTAGAAAGAAATATTCTGAATTTGCTGACATCATGCACAAATAGTGGAGTGGTGGTATGGAACAAGCATGTGAGTGTTCCTGGCAATCTTGAAACAAATGTTTCATTTAGTCATCTCTATTATTAACTTTCATGATGAACTAGAAGAGATTTTTTTCCTATTTAAATTAGTTCAAATAATTTGTGTTTTCCTCATAAGCTTATTTTCTGTCTGGATTTCTTGTAGATACTATTGAATTCTGAGTATCAATCTTGAAATTTTGTTCCTTGTTGACCTCTAAAGTCTTTGTCAGCCTATGAGGGGTAGCTGGTAGTATATTAAAAACTTTCTCTCTGGCTGTGTCTGCAATTTAGCAGAATCCTTGACTTGAGTTTGATGATCACAGTTGCAGTGTGAACATGACTTTCAAAAGTTGATGTGACCAATGTGAATTCGGGAGCAACTGCTAGTCTGGTGTCAGGAGGTACTAAGAAAAGATGTACAGGGGAAACTAAGATTGTATTGAAGCAAAGTTTTTTAACTATAGACAGCTTAAAAGGGATCCTTCACAAGAAATTAATGAAAACAAGCCTGCTGTCAGTGGGCTTTTGTTCACTGTACAAAGGTCCATGCTTCTACGTGAAGTTACTTAGAGATAGACTGACAAGAGAGGAGATAATGTTGAAAACATTCTTCTAAGTGATTAATGGCACTCTGAACCTCTAGTCAGATCAGCTTGGCTATATTAATCACCAATCACTTTATTTTCCTCCCTCTTTTTTTACCAGTAGATCCAAGGAGAGGTAATGAAAATAAACAGCTGAAAAAGTGTTGGTGAAAGTTCTTGGTAAACTTCAAGATTCTGGTTGTAATTAGGTTTGTTTTGTGGTAAAGGCAAGACTTGATCTTGCCATGGCAGCCAGTTCCTTGTGTTGAGCTGTTTTAGTGATGCATTGGAAGGTCCTGGAGTGAACTGAACGTAATCATTAAGGCCACTCACTCACACTGCATGTGAAAGAGTCTGTCTAGCTAAGTGGATTTGCTGAAAATTAGTATGGAATCCCATAAATAAATAACAACTACCTCTATAACTGTTACACCCCTGTGCTGTTACTGTGAGGGGGATTTTTAAGCAGGAAAACTCTATGGAAATTGCATAGGATTAATGTAAGTTCACTGTATAATACAGACTTCTCAGAAGTTTGCATGGATCATAAATTTACACCTGAAGAAATTTGGAGTATGCCTTTCATGTATTGTGATTTACGTTTTGAACTTCAGTCTTTGATAGTTCTCACTTTACAGTTTCTCAGATAAGAACTGTCAAAAATGAGTAGCCAGTGTAGTCAGTCACTTGCTTTGTATTTTTTGCTGATTATCTTTGGCATCTCACATGTATATTCTAAAGGCAGAATACATGATTTGTATTGTACATGCACCACCAGACTATTGGTGTCCATATTTATTCTTTATGGCAAGATTTAGATTTATTTCTGCAACACTAATGACAGAGTTAGGGGAGGAACAGAAATTTTTTGTACTTTAGATCCTATAATCTGGAGCACTTTTTAATCAAATTTAAAACTAGCATATTTTGGAGAAGAAAAGTTATGTTGCAGTTGTTTTAGAAGCAGGGGGTTTGTCTAGAAGGGCTTTAAAATGGAGGATTTGACTTGCATGAGAAGTTTCTAGCTATGAGGTGGTGGCAAGTAGAGAAGCCTTTAGCAATTGTACTTATAAGGTACTAAAAGTTAAGCAGGGGAGATGGAGAGATACTGTCACTTCTTAGCTTTGTATCTTGCAATGAGTTCACATGGCATTCTCCCTCTTTTTTTTGCTTATAACCCACTCATCCCCACTCATGAGCCTCACTCATTTTATTGCAATTCTGTGTGAGATTAAGGATCTTTTCCAGAAATACCCATATCCAAATCCAACCTCACTAATCTGTATGCGCTTTGGCAGCTTGTTTTTAATTCTAGTCCTTAAGGAATCTTAAAGATTGTCCTCAAATGTTTATATTCATAACCCACCGAAGGTCTGGAGGTCACAATATACTTACTTTTATATCTCCAGAAGATTCAGTCAGCAGAACTAGGGAACATTAGATTTGATTTTGATATTTAAAAGGAAAAAACAAATATCTCAAAGTTTTTTACCCAACCCTTTTGTTATTTCTTTTCTCTAATTTAAATAATACAGGAAACTTTAAAGAAAATAAATGGTTATTTTTTTAAAATTAAAATAAACATGATATATAATTTTTTCCAAATTATTTCTTCATATTATTATGTTACACTCATCCATAAAAATGTGTGGCTAGATACAGGTAAGAAACCAGAATCGTAATCCATTTTATTCTGTCAACTTCTTCTTGGTTCCCAGGGGCTGTTCTCACATGCTTTCTAACCACAAAACTCTTTATTCTTATGTGTGTAACTGTAGTGGGTTGACCCTGGGCTGGATGCCAGGTACCCACTAAAGCCGCTCTCTCACTCCCCTCTGCAGCTGGACAGAGGAGAGAAAAAAAACAGCAAAGGGTTCATGAGTTAAAGAGCTGGGAGAGGTCGCTTACTGATCACCATCATGGGCAAAACAAACTCTAAGTGGGGATATTAATTGAATTTATTACTAACAGGGTCAGAGCAAAAGAGTGAGAAGTAAAATAATCTTAAAAACACCTTCCCCCCACCCCTCCTTCCTTCCAAAATTCTACTTCCTTCCCCCCAGCGGTGCAAGGAGACAGGGAATGGGGGTTGTGGTCAGTTGTTGTTTCTGCTGCTGCTCAGGGAGAGGAGTCCTTCCTTCCCCTGCTCCCGTGGGGTCTCTCCCCCGGGAGACAGTCCTTCATGGACCTCTCCAGCCAAGTCCATCCCACAGGCAACAGTTCTTCCCAAACTGCTGTCCTGTGGGTCACTCCTCCATGGGGTGCAGTCCTTCATGAATGAGCTGTACTGATGTGGGTCCCCCACAGGGGCCACAAGTCCTACCAGGGAAAAACTTGCTCCAGCATGGGGTCCTCTCTCCGCGGCCTGGAGGTCTCCAGCAGGACCCTGCTCCATCTTGGGCCTCCCATGGGGTCACAGCCTCCTTCATGCGTCCACCTGCTCCAGCAAGGGCTCCTCCATGGGCTGCAGGTGGGTCTCTGCACCGTGATGGTCCTCCATGGGCTGCAGGGGCACAGCTGCCCCACCATGGTCTGCATCACGGGCTGCAGGGGCCTCAGCTCTGGCGCCTGGAGCACCTCCTGCCCCTCCTTCTGCACTGACCTTGGTGTCTACCTTGTTGTTCCCATGTTCTCACTTCCCTGGCTGGAATTTTCACCTGCGCAACAACCTTAAATATGTTCTTAACTGTGTTATCACAGAGGCATCACTATTGCTCCTGATTGGCTCAGCCCTGGCCAGCAGCAGGAAGCCCGTCCTGGATCTGGCTGGCATTGGCTCCACCAGGCAGGAGAAGCTTCAAGCAGCTTCTAACAGAAGCCACCCCTGTAGCCCCCTGCTACCAAAATCCAGCCGCAGAAACCCACTACATTAACCTTCTCCCATCCCTTGTGCCTTGGGTTTCAGCTCTGTAGTTGCTAATTCTTAAATGTGCTTTTCTGGGAATATTGCTTGCTTTTTTCCCTAATTATTGTTTCTTCTTTGTATCTGGCACTCTCCATTTTTAAAAGCAATAGAATAAACATTGATGCAGATCTAGTGAGGCACTACTTTTACTTACTGTGAGAGCTAAAAGAAGATAAGGAGTGCAGTGAATGTGCAACTTGAAGGCCTTTTTAAAAAAAAATTTACCTCTGCCTTAGCAAAATATAGTTAAAGGCTAGTCTTACT